CCGTTTTATTCCATTATACGGCAAAAATTCCATTTTATTCATTAATTATAAAAATGGAATAATTCCGGGTCTCTGACTAGGGGTGGTTTCGGAAACCATTGTTAAGTCCGGAGCACAAGTGTAACGAAAGGGACCAACCACACGTATCGACTCAAAATTTGAGCGGGCACAGTAGGTTTTATTTTTGTTATTTTGATGCATCAAAGCGCATAAAACATATTATAGTCCTTCGGACTAATGATAGTTATTTTTATAATTATTTGAATCTTGTGAAATGTAATTTGGATTACTATTTTTTTTTTAATTTGACTATGCAATAATTTTTATTAGATTTAGTAATATTAATAAAAAAATGGAGATAAATAATTCAGTATTTTTACCTTCATTTTTTTTTATCAGAAACTTATATTTTAAAATTTAAAATAAACTAGAAAACGGGAACCATTGTTAAGTCTTAACTAAAAAAATTCACACTGGTATTTGTGCAATTACAAAAGCCAATCAGCATCGACCCAACGAAGTGAAGGACTAATCAAATTATTATTCTATTTGAATAATATTTTTATATTAATATTTTTTTTTTAAAATGATTTTACTATAAAAATAATTCATATATTATTTATTTAGAATGAAAGTTTTTTATCATTTTGATTTTACTATTATTCTATTAAAATAATACTTTTTATATTTTATTATTTTATTAAAAAGATTTTTTTTATTATGTAGAAAATAATATTTTATCATTTTTTAGAATAATTCGTCTATTCTTCTAAAAGAATAATTTTATTAAAAACGATTCAACCATTAATAATGTGTTATTGTTTTTTAAATTATTATTTCGAAATCATAATAAATAAAAGCAATGTAGCAATTTATTTTGCTATATTACATCTTTTATCAAGCATAATTTGCATGAACTATTTACACACTTGCTTCTTTTTGTGTTCTTATTGATATAATTAAAATCGTTCTAATATTTTGTATTATAATTCCTAAAATGGTAATAGATCGGCAATTATCGATTCACCAAAAATTTTAATATTAAAGCAATAAATATGGGTAATCTTTTACTTCATTCTAATCCTCTATTTTTAGTATAATCACTACGAATATATCACGTTCAGATTAAGGAGTAAATTTCTCCATATGGAGGATGAAAAGGTGGCAATTAAAAGATGCACTGTCGATCAATGATCAATGCAGTAATCATTTTTAATTTTAATTTTAATTTAGTTGTGGGGAATATTTATATTTTGTAAGATTTTAATGTGACACCAATTAAGATCAAATTATTGTCCATTTCTAAATGGTATAAAAAGAGCCGAAAAAATTTGTAAATAAGTTTTTTTTAACCAAAAAAAAAAAAAAAAAATGAAGGGTATACAAATTATTTCATTTTTGTTCGCTTTTATCACAGTATTTGCATCAGGTAAAAAAAGTATAAATGATAAAATGTTATTTTGTATATTTTAGTAATTTATTAATTCGAATACAAATTTTTATCTTCAATAAAAAAGCCGAAATAAGCATCAAATATCCTTCAAAAGATTATTTTTTAGTAGCAGGACAACCAAATGATGTTCTTTGGACTTCGGAAGCAGGCGACCCTGCAACATTTTCGATTTATTTAAATAATCCGGTAATGTATAAATTTTAATAAAGTAACCTTTCATTTAAAATATACCAATAAAATTATATTAAATTCTTTTAAAAATAAATAGGCAATTTCTGATTTAAAAAATTTTGCACTTGCTAATAATGTTGCAACAAGTCTCAATAAAACTAGTATTGCTTTGCCTGAAACTCTTGTCAATACTGGTAATACTTTGTAATTATATTCCTTTATTTCTAATACTACTAAATACTAATTTAACCTTTTCTATAAAAATAGGGTTTCAAGTATTTTTTACAGATATAGGAAATATTACAAAAGTTTATGCAACATCAGAAGTTTTTGAAATAAAAGCTCATGGTACTGCTCCAGTAGCATATGCTCCACCAACACCAACTCCTTCTCCCTCAGATACAAAAAATTCTGGTGGTAATGGTGACGCTTCAAAACAAAATTCTTCAAATTCTATTCACGATTATGGATTTGGCATTTTAGCTTTCATTACCCTAGTTACTATATTTTTATTTTAATTGACTCGACTTTACCTTACTTTATTTTATTAATTAGAATATAATAATTTAAGTATTAATGAAATGAATTTAAAAGAAATAATTTTAATTTCTATCTTATAATAATTAAACTATATAAAGTCCATCCGGACAATGTTTTAAATTTCAATATTAAAATAATAAAAAGCTAAAAAATTAAAGACTAAATTTTCCTCTTTAAATTGCTCAGGCAATTTCCACTTTATTAAATTAAATAATCAATCTACTAAAAGGTAACATCTTACCTATAAAAGACTCACCTAATAAAATTATTACAACAAATCCCCATCTCAATCCGATTGATTTTCTTTAATTTTCATAGTTCCTTCTTGTTCTAGCCATTTAGAATATTTTTCTAATCGTGCAGACTCCTCTTCTTCGGTCTCACCAGATTTCGCTCCAGTTTTTTGAAATTTTTGTTTGCCATCAAATATTTCTGCTTCGATACGACGACCAGCAAAAAATCGTCCATTCATTTTCTAATCACACAATGTTAAAGTTAATAAATTATAAATACCGCATTTCGACGTCTAGCGCTTTGATACATACCACTACGCATGCATCGGCACTTAGTTGATCCTTAAACTTTACCGATACCACACCATCTGGTTCTTTCTATTTAAAGTAGAAATTTACCAAGTTTAGTTTTGAACTATGTAAAAATTGTAAACAAAATCCTACATACGTCGTATAATATCACATTGGTAACTTCTCCTAACTTCTCACATTCATTTCGAATATCTTCTTTTAAGTCTAAGATCAAACTAATATCATTCTTATAAATAAATAATAACAATTAATATATATACATAAGTTCTAATATATTAAAATAAGTTCTCACCTCCAATTCATCTAACGTAAACATATTCTTCAAAATCACTATTTTACTATATCTCTCAACTTTTTTTCCAGGTTCAGATTCATACCAATCCAATTTCCTAATTATCAAGGCAGGTACTTGATTAATAAAAATAACATAAACCTAAAAAAAAAAAAAATGATGACTTACTTTTCGAGTTGTTGCAATTTCTTATGGACCTTTTTCTTATCAATTTTGGTATTAGCATTATCAATTTGATTGACATCTGACTTGGGTTCTTTCTCTTTGAATTGAGCCTGCGACGAAGATATAAAGATAATTAAAATTAAAGAATAACATAATATATAAAGAAGAGTAATATACTATTACATTACTTTTTGTACACGCATTATAGAAACTTCATCTGGACGAAGTTGTGTTTCATCCAGCAATTGACAAGCCAATGCAACGGATTCTTCTTTTAGATAGGTAACAAGCGCGTCTCCCTTTAATCGATCCTTATCGTCTTTGTAAAGTTTTATTTTCGGTCCTCCTTAAAAAGGTAGAAATTCTGAATTAATGAATTTGATCACAAAATCATATTTCATTTTTTTTTTTTATTTATTTAAGTGGTATCTTACCAGCAATTAAATCTTCCATCAAAACTCCATATTTTGAAAATACTTCAGCCAATTCATTAACAGTGACATCAGGTGGTAAGCCAGTTACATAAACTGAAGTATTTGCGGGTTTTTTCTTTTGATTATTTTGTTTTTGTTTTTTTGAATCTTGATCTGTCTTTAAACATGAAATTAACATAAGGGTTAATTACATTGTATGATAAAGGGGGTGAATATATTGGTATTGAAAATATTTACATTATCAGAAGTATAAACGTTTTTCCGTTTGCCTCGCTTTAATGGTACAGCAGGTTCCTTTGGTGGCGAATATAAAAAGACAATATCTATGTGTATTCCCGAAGAAAATTTCTAATTTTTATAGTAATATGTTTATAATATCTTACACTTTCGTTAACACCAGGTACAGAATAAGCAGATTGTTGAAGTTTCAACAAAAGATCTTCTTCCTATACAGAAATAAAAAATAAAATGAGTTTTTCGACAAAGTTTATGTTTTTACTTTTAACTATTAAACAGTGTTTTACGATTTTGATCCATTGTTGTTGATCTTCATCAAATTGCAAAGTTTCTCCGTCTTCACTCGTATAAGTCCATTTACCAATCGCTTCGATGTAGTGCATATTAGCATCTAAATGAAAATCAGAAGACAAAGAAGCGTTCTTGTCATTTTCTTGACCAGGATCGATATTTGTTGTTTCTTTACCAGTAGACATTGATATTTTGTAAAAAGAGAGAGATTCAATATAATGTTCTTGAATTCCGCTCGAAGTCTTTGGCCGCAGATCTAATAAAATGATCTTTCTAAATTTGAAAATCCCTGGCCTAATGCTTAACCCTAATTCTGGCCAGCCCGGTTGCTTTTATCGTTTTTATCGTTTTTATCGTTATCTTTACAACCAGATTTATTCCCATGTACAAAGAAAATTTAATCAGCATGTGACATAAATAAACTGCATTAACATTTACAAAAATGATCTTATTATAGTCATAAATGCAAAAAAAATACGTGTTTTCGTCTGCATAAGCATAAGTTTCAAACTCGAACATACCATTTCCATATCATTTGTGAAACTTGGTACAATCTAAGGTTCTTTCTTCGCTATTTTAAAAAAAAGGTTTTTCCAGAATACGTTATTTTTTATATCAGTTAACGCGTTTGTTAACTTATTAAATGTCTGACTCAGTTAGTCACAAGCCTCCTCAAGGAGTGAAAACGTCCCACTACAAGTCCGAAATTATTGTAACGGGTCCTAAAGCATCTATACAAGATTCGGTACAAGGTAGGCAACTTTCTTTTTAAGAGCTCTTGTTAAGGAAATAAAATATTATTAAAAATACAACTCTTTATAAAGTAGCGAATACCATCAAAAAGGAACCACAAATGACTTCTACCTCCGGAACTTCAAATAATGACGCGTCCTTCGATACCCAGGAAGAAGTTGATTTGATGAATTTTGATGAAGATTACTTAAATTTTGACTTTAATAATTATGCTACTAGGGAAGTGGATTGTAATGTACAACATATATCTACGATTGATCAACTCTTGTGTGATCTTGATTTCGGAAGAGATATTTTATTCGCCAAAGCAAATAATGTACCAGAGGATGAAATAACGCAAAATAAGCAGATTACATCAAAACTTCCGGAGCAACTAACACATCATGAAATTCCTGTAAAGGATAATAATAAAATGAGATCACCGTATAAACCCACAGATGTCCCGTCTGTTTCATCTCTTATGAAGGAGGTACAACTTTCTGAACCTTCTCTTACAACGAATGGAACACTACCGAAAGATGCAATTCGTACTTTTATCTCGAAGGAGACACAAACGGTTAGTTCTTCTCGTGTTGATGAGGTCGCTACAAAATTAACTTATACCACCAAGGGGACGCAAACTGATATATTTGTTCCGGCGACGGAAACGATATATCAAAAACCAAAAAAAAAGAATAATATACTCTTTTGTTGAATTGTTGATATATCAATTTTCACCTCTTACAAAGGAGTTGCATGATGTTGTGGGTAGGAGATTCAACAGAGCTGTCATTGATTACGATTTATTACAAAACAGTTCTCAATCAAGAAACAATCAACCTCGGTACCCTGGCGTACAACGAGGTACGATTATTCCCCCAAAACGATATGGACGATATGGAGCTTTGGATCCTAGATATGAAAACGATAGATTTGCAGCATCACCTATAAGAAAACATTTTGAGAGCCCGTCGGAACTTTCCTTTCTTAAAGAATGCGTATCTGCCCACAATAGGTGGATAGCATTGTTGCGAGAAAAGGAATTGCGGTTAAGCTGTTTAAAGGAATTTAAAGAATGTAAGAGTATGAAATGGATCAATGCTCACATGAGCCTCACTAATGAGCATTCTGAAAATTGTTTGACACATAAAATGGGCATAGATCAACAAATTAAAGCAAATTCTCACGAAAAAGATCGTTTCGAAGAGGAAGACGGACATTAAGTTTAATTTCTTTTATAGACGAGTAAATTTTTCTATTCAAAAACAAAAAAAAAAGTTAAGCGGAAAATTTTTTTTTTTTTAACCATACCTTTATATATATATTAGTCTAAGTCGTCGGCCCTTTCTAACTTTTAGTCTTTTTTGCCATGCTTAAACTTTATGTAATATATATTTGCATAGTTGATTGTACAATATAAGCTATTTGATGTATAATGCATTTGGAGGGGGAGGGTTTTTTTTTGTTTATAATAACAGTTGTCTCGTTTGATTTTATTAAATTAAAAGACTCTGTAAATAGATGATTATATATATAACTATATATAAGTGTAACTATGGTTTGTTACAAGGTATCTTTCAATAATTATTTGTTATTGAATTTTATTTAGATTCATATGTTAAATATTTTGAAAGTAAAATTATGTTTCAGATTTAAAAAAAAAAATTACAGTATATTTTTTGTTATAATAGGTTTTAATAAGAATTATTATCTTTAATTAAAATGATAAATTTTAATGATTTTTTATTTTTTTAAAAAAAAAAACTTATAATTTGTACTTAAAGAAATTGAAATAAATTCTAAAAAACTGATATTTTATTATTAAAACAATTAATATGTAAAATTATATATTTATAATATATATATATATATATATTATTAGTTAATTATTTATAATATAATAATTTTACAGAAAAAAATTTTATATTAAATATTTATTAAAAAATTGTAAAAGTTAAAAAAATAAATTAAATTAAATTAGTTAAATTTAAAATAAGTTTAAATAAGCAATTTTAAGTATAAAAATTATAATTTAAATATATATAAATAATTTAAATAAAATTATTTAGTGGTTTTGAATTTAGTTAAATATCAATTTTCATTAAAGTTAGTTTTGATATACATAAGTAAATTATATTCTTAATGCTAATAATAAATAAATTCATTTTTAATTTTAATTAATACTTTTGGTTTTTTTTTTTAATTAAAAAATTAATAATTTAAATAAAGTTATTTTACAGGTTTAAATTTAATTAAATATTAAATTAAATCAATATATATAAAATAAATTATATTTTCAATATTTATAACATATTAATTAATATTATTAGTTAAATTTTAACTAATTAAATTAATGTTAATTTTTAAGTTGATTTATATCTAAATTTATTTTTAAATTATATCAAAATATTTGATTTGATTTAAATAAATTAGTATTAATTATATTAATTAAAACTAAAATAAAATAGTATTACTTAAATTCAATTATCTAATTTTAGCTGATTTGAATTATTTAGATCAAAACAAGTCTATATTTATAAGTATATAATAAGTATAAAAAGAAATTATTAAAATTAAGTTGTAATATATATATATTGCAATCTAATTATATTAGATTATTACCTAATTATGAGTAAGTTGTTATCTACTTATTGTTTTTATTATTCTGTAAACTTTTTATGTTATAGTTAGTATCTTTTTGTTTTTATTGTTTTGTAACCTTTTTATTTTTTTTGTTTTGCAGCCTTTTTGCTATTAAATTATTACCTATTTATATTTTTTATTCTGTATTTTTGTTATTGTTAAGAGATTAGATATTTGGAAGCGGTCAATAAAAAAGAGGAAAATCTACAAATTTTGAGTAATTTTAGTTATTAAGCTAGTTTTGTTCACATAACCATGATCAGTAAAGTGAACCAATAAAAAATTTTTGACTAAAAAGTAAATTTTCCCTTTTTTACTGTCTACTCCTATTTATTAGTACTATTTCACATTATTTTTATCATTAAAAAATATTTAAATAATATATAATTCGTTAAAAAATTTAGATTTCGCTGACAAGCTATAAGAAATCATATTTATCTTATTTAATTACCATCTCTTAATTTACTAGATAAGACTAATGTAGAGTGCAAACTTGCAATCATATATTTTTTCCTTTTAATTATTATTTCTAAATTACTATATGAGAAACAAAATGCTGAATTAGTATTTATCTAGTAATATTTCAAGTTATAAATTTCTATTTTTTTTTTCTAATATTATTTTAATTTAAGGTATTACCTTATTATATGTATTTTGTATCTCTAAAACTTTTTTCACATAGTTATTATTTGTAATTATTATCTTTAAATAATATATTATTATTTGTAATATTATTTATCATTTACTTAGGGTATTGTTTTATTAATTATTTGAGGTATCACCTCATCGATTATTTGAAATATCACCTTATCAATACTTTTTTTTTCTTATATTCTCTGAGTATTTTATTTTTTTGATTTCTTTTCTATTTATTAGTAATAATTATACAAAAAAAAATAATTTCTGATTTTCATTTTTATATATTATTCTACTTTTAAATCCTATTAAAGTATATTCTATTTTTCATTTTTATATTTTTAAATCTTTTCTAACTCAGTTTAAATTATACTATTTTTATACATTTATTTTTTATATTCTCCTAAGATTCTCTGCTTTTTTGATCTCTTTTCTGCCTATCGAATATTATATCAAAGTATAATTTCTTATTTTTTTTTATATATTATTTTACTTTAGTATATTACTAAATAAATATTTTATTTTATACTTCTGCATTCCTATAACTCTTTCTTATATAGTTGCTACTCTAGATATTACTGTATTAATTACTTTTAGGTAATACTACATTGATTACTTTAGATACTACTTCTAATCTAATCTTTTGTTAGTAAGCGTATTTATCTAAAATTTTATAAAATTTTATTTTAAACTTTGCAAATTTTTATGTAATTTTATATTAGTTTCTTGCATATATATATTATACTACTTATGCAAAAAATTCAAGCTAAATTCTAACTCATTTACTTATTCTAAACTATCTGAATAAATTTTTAATAATCTTATGATTAAAGATATATATTTTTGTTTTACTTTAAATTTCAAGTTATTTTAAAGTAAAAAAAAGAAACTTTATAAAGATCTTAATTTTATCAAATATCAGTTAAATAAGAAATAATCTGTCTTTATATGATTATTAATATTATATATTATAATTGAATTATAGAATAAAATTAAAAATATTTGTATAATAATTGATTCTCATATAGACAATTTTATAAGAATTTTTTTTGTATTATTAAGTCTTTTATTTTATGAAATAAATTTTATATAACAAGATCTTTATAGAAAGGTGAAAAAATTGTTAAAATATATAGATCTATTTTATGATATTTATAAACAAAAAAAATAAACATATAAAAGATCATTAAGCTATATTATTAAGTATTCTTAGCTAAAATTATCACTTTCTGCTAAGAATACTGGTGATAATTATTTTTTGCTTATATAATAGTAGTAGCTAAATTTAATTTTACTTTTAAACTTATATCTGAATTTGCATATATTCAGACTGATTCTTCTAATTAATATCAGTTTAGAGTAGTGATCTCATTAGAAATACACAAATTTTTACACATATTATTCTATTGTATCTATAAAATGTAAGTTCATAATAAACTAATATTAATGTATTAACCTATATCTAGAAATATAAAGGAAGATGCTTAGCTAAGTTAATATTAATCCTAATACATATTTATATTTATATAAAAAGGATCATCAATGAAAAGCATCATATAAAAATATGAAGTAAAATTATAGGTAATGTAATATTTATCTTAATATTATTACTGAATTCATTTTTAGTTATCTTAATGCTTAAGTTAAAAGATTATGACAGTTGATTTTACATATTGGAGTTTCTGACCTTAGGATTTTCTCTAAGTTCTACAGATATCTATTATACTTAAATTAACTTAGCAATTTATTACATCTTAGAATTTAAGATATGTTAGTCAAACTCGTAATAATGAACTTAATAGTAAGTTAGTAAAGGATATATAACAAATTCTAGATGAGAAATAATATTGAAGGGAAAAATAAATTTGTATAGATTTAAATTGATTCTTTTATTAATAATTTGAGATTCACAGAAGAGTTTATAACTTACAAATAAGTTAATTTACAACTTAAGCAAAAGCTATTCTATTATACAAAATAAATTTGCTATAGCTAACTATTTGTTACACTATAAATTAATTAAATATAGATATATATTTTAATAAAAATATACTTAAATATAATAAAATAATATAAATTATAAAAATAATAAAAAGTAATAAAATAATTTACAGATATTAAGAAAATTACATACAAAACAAAATAAACAAAATAATAGACTGTATAGAAAATACAAAAAAAAAACAGAAAAATAGGTAAAACAGAAATTATTGTTGATTTTTATTTAGTGTAATAATAACATCATCTAATACAGTAGCGGTCATAAGTATCCGACCGCCTCTAACTCCGGCTACAAGTAAATAAATTCAAAAATTTTTTTTTATTTAAAAAATACATAACTAACTAACTAAAATTAATATATTGTGTAGTCACTATCTGACTCTATAAGTGCAGCTGTATGCCTTTTCATACTAACTACCAAATTTGCGGCAAGTAAAGGTGATAATCAGTTCTATTCTTTTATAAGTTCCCCCTTTAACCCTTTAATTGATCGAATTTTTTTTTTTGTATATTAATTTTCATTAACCTTCAAACGTTTTCTATAGGGTTTTGGTCTGGAGACATTGATGGCCAAGAAAGTACCTCAATGCCATTTTCTTCCTTCCA